AGATGTGACTCAAAAAAGGCATAATAGGCTATTCTAGAGGTTGAGAAGTTAAGTTCCTTAGAAACTGATCTTAGCGCAAAACAGGCAGTGCTTAGTTTCTTTGATAGAGCTTCAATGTGAAAGTCCCATTTTAACGAGTTGTCTACAGCAAGTTCTAATAATTTCACAGAGTCCACGACGTCAATAGTGGTGTTATTAAGTACAAAAGGTTGTATAGGACTTTTATATGACAAAACTTGAGTTTTTGATAGGTTGAGGTATAGGAGATTAGAATCGCACCAAGACTTAATGGTGCGTAAGGATATAGTATGGTGTGCACTGGATATAGTATCACATAGTGCCGCAACATCTGGGCCGCTCCAAGTGAAACTAGTATCGTCCGCAAAGAGGCAGATTTTACCGCTAATGTATAGATTTGCAATGTCGTTGATAAACACCAGAAACAAAATAGGGCGAAGTACTGAACCCTGAGGGACACCACGCTCTATAGGCTTACAAGAAGACATAGACGTATCAATACTCACAAGCTGCATTCTGTTGCCAAGATATGACTTAAGCCATTCGAGCGCCACTCCCCTGAAACCATAGTATTGCAACTTGTTAATTAAGATATTATGATTTACACAATCGAAAGCCTTAGAGAAATCACAGAAAATTGTAGCTGTAGAGTGATGGTTATTCAGGCTAGAGTATACATTATTAAAAAGGTCGAACATAGCATCATTTGTGCAACTGTTACTTAGAAATCCAAATTGACGGGTAGTAAGTATTTTATATTTAAGGAGAAAAGATAGAAACCTTTCTTTAACCAATCTTTCAATGATCTTAGATAATGTGGACAGGAGTGCAATTGGGCGATAGTTCGAAGCTTCATCTTTATCACCTCCTTTATACAGAGGAATAATTATTGCTGTCTTAAGGCAGTTTGGAAAAACTCCTTTTTGGAATGACTCGTTAATTAAAGTAGTAAGATGGTTTAATGTGCATTCAGGAAGTTCAGAGAACATTTTGAGGGTAAGCCTATCAGTCCCAGATGAGGATTTGTTTTTAATATTATTAATTGTACTACGGAGCTCATCTAATGCTACGGGCGTGAAGAAGAAACTGTGTAAATTCTCATTTGCTTTAGGGAGATATGAAAGTGCATCATGGGAAGGAGTTATGGCGTTCACTAAATTTTTAGCCACATTAACAAAGTAAGTGTTTAAATCTTCAGGTGAATTAAAGACTGTGCCAGACGAAGAAGTGTTATTCCTTAAGTTATTTACAATAGCCCAAGTCTCCTTAGCGACATTACCGGCTTTGGCTAGCCTCGCATTATAATAAATGTCCTTGGCAGCTTTTATAGTCTTACCATAAACTCTGTAAAGTTTCACGTAATTATGAAAGAAGACGCTGTCCGTGAATTTCTTAAGGTGAGATAATGAGCGCATGTTCTTTGCAGATATACGCAAGCCTGTAGTAGACCAGGGTATACTTTGTTTACTTTTGATAGGCCTAAGAGGAAACGCCTTGTACGCTAGATTAGACAAGGTATCCATAAATCTAGAAAATTCGGAATCGACGTCAGCCGAGAGGACAACCCACTCTGTTGTTAGACATAGGTGGTGAAAATTTAGAAAATTTTCATCCGAAAAAATACGGCCCAATTTGCGCGAGGTATTTTTGCATTTGGATTTTGGCAAAAACTTTGTCAATACTGCCTCATGATCAGAGAAACCTGAGTGAAGTGAGAACCTACAGTCAACGAATTCCGGGTCAAAGACGACACGACATAGTCTATAGTACTAGAGCCAGTTTTAGTTATTCTAGTTGGTGAGTCAACATGCATGAGTATACCAAAAGAAGGAAAAATGGACTGGAGAGACTCTTTAGCTGCACACACACTGGAAAGTCAATATTCAGGTCGCCACACAAAATTAATTTACTTTTTATAGGTAGGGATTCAAGCAAACTTAGCAATTTTTGACTGAAAATATGTACGTCAGCGTCAGGTGTTCTGTAAATACAAATAATATAGAGGTCAAAAGCATTATGATAAACGACGGAAAATTCAAAAAAAATTTCGGATATTAGAGTATCGAACTTAGTTACTGCCGAAAAGTCGTTGTGAGTAGACATTATCATAGTACCTCCATGAGATGAGTTACTTCTATTGAATCTAGTTAATATAGTGTATTTTTTGACAAATACAGGCTCATCCATATTTAACCAATGTTCAGTTATGGCAACAATTTCTGGAAAATTGAGCTCTTCTAATAAAAGATATAATTCATCCGTTTTATGTCTTAAGGACTGAATATTAATTAAAAAAACACTAACCTTGCTATCGTCTAGTTTTTCAGAGGGTGCTTGATCCTCTTTTCGCGTCATTTCACCTAAAAATTTGTAGTTTTACTTGGAGAGAAATACTTGGTATGACTTTCCCTAATTCTCTGAAGCTGCTGAAGTTTTTCCGTTGAAAAGAAGGACCTGAAGGCAGAAAGATCCGCATCCACTTCAGCTGAGTCAATAACATAAACGTTGTGGAAGCGATAATATAGCCTGCGCAGGGAATCCGCGTCACTAGGAAGTCCCTCTGAGGCCATAAATAATTTTATGCTGGTGTTGGTGTGCCCTTCAAAACACACACTTGAGGGTTGATCATGGAGATAGGCGAGGAATAGCCGAATAGGCTTTAATATGGAAGGGTCCCTCAGCCTAGCTAGCAAATAACGCCCATTTGCCTCATCCGAATTCTGCGTCATTCGAACCACAGGCGGAGTCAACGGGTCCATATGCAGCCCACCATCCCTCCTCGCACTCTCTTCCACAACAATTTCTACATTTTTTAGCCCAAGAGACTTACAGACAGCAATAGCCTCCTTGTCAGAACAAATCTTAGCAGATTTGACCTCCCTCGGTATATTTACGAGTTTCGAGTCAGAGCAAGGTGGTAGACTTTGGATGTCAACAGTCTTTGATAAAATTTGTTTAGAGTTTAAATTGTTAGAAAATCCTGCATCTCTCATTGCAAATATTATTTTCATTATTTTAATTGCTACTCACAACTAGATTTTTTTTGTACTAAAGCCGACACCGTTGAAAGCCTATTTACACAAAGTGGGCGAATTTTTATAAACTCTATATCTTGAAAAAGAATCGAGCAAAATATCAAGTGTTTTATGAATTAAAAATATACAGGGTTTTCTATATAAAAATCAAATGGTCTGTTGATAATTTTTAAATTATTAATTTTAAAAAATTATACTTAAAGTGCTTTAAAAATGTTTTCATAAAAATACAAAATTTTCTATAGCGAAAAAGTAACAGCGATTTATTAAAAATGCAAATTTTTGAAAAACACTCCATAACTCCGAAACGGTAACCGATATCGATGTGCGGTTTTCACCATCATGTTTTTGTTAAAAATTGAGCTCCAGACACCCATTAGTCTTCGTCTATTTCCTATTATAGAAAAGGGTGTCTTTTAAAGCGTCCAATTTGGTCCACTCTGACCAGTATGCAGTTTTTGATGTGATGTTATTTCCTGACCCCTAAATTGCCCAAAGAAACTATTATTATTATTAAACTATCATGATTAAAGTTAATATTCTATGACTGATTTTTTAATTTTGTTGGCATATTAAAAATGGGTGAAATATAGAAACAATATAAAGGGATTTAAAAAAAATATATACATTTAAAATTGTAATTTGAATGTAATACTTCATTATATATTTATATTGTAATTTGAATGTAATACTTCACTAATGTAGGTATAAATGTATTTCTAATGTATTTCTACACTCAAAAAAAGTGTTTTTATTTTCGTATAAATTCAATATGCAAAAGTTATCATCGGTCACATTTCATCTAATTATAATAAGCGACCAATGATTTATTTTGCCTAAAGGTTAGTATTGATGTTTTAAATCTACATAAAACAAGAAACTTGTAAATCAAGTAAGCAAAATCTATCAATAAACTTTATTCTGTATTAGCCATTCGAAAAAATAAACTAATATGTTATTGATATAACAAACAAGGAACGCTATATTATTTAACTATTATTAATATAATTAGACCCAATGTTACAATTATTACCTTATTACTTATTAATAATATTATAAACTTTCTTTGCTTATATAGATCATATTGAATGCTTTATTGTACACTCAGATGCAAAAAAACGCAACGGGTAAATTTTTGGTCAAATTTAAAGTGTTACTTATATTTTTCTTATTTTTAGCCCTATTTTCATGATTTTTTTAGCAAGCTTTATATAATTATATCAACTTTAATTCGTAAATTCAGTTTTTTATAAACTTTAATTTAAGTTAGACAACACCAATTATTATGGTATTTTTTACATTTTTTTTTCTGTTTGTATACTTGAGTTTTACCGATGTTTTCTTTAGTATCGTTGGTTCTGTTATTGTTATTTATGTTTATTAAAACCAGGACTATATAGTTAGTCTTTAACGTTTTTTTTTTTAAATTTAGTATAGAGTATCCAATGCAGAGTAATAAGACATTAGTCATATTACTCTGACAATAGTCACCAAAATTATCTCGGCATATTAAAAAATTACACCAAAAAGTAATGATAATTGAAAAAATTGCAAATTGATCGTGATCAATTCATTTCGATCTTAAAAATTAATCAAAGCATGTATTGACATGAATCAAAAAACAAAATGCTCAGGAATCATGGTTCCCACCGTAAAATTATATTTTAGGGAAATTTACATACGAAATTATTGCACAGGGCGTTTTAAACTTAAGGTAAAAAAGCAACCCCTCGATTAACCCTGTATAATATGTCAAATACTAAAGTTTATAAGAAAGTTAGTTTATGAATTGAAGTTGATATAATTATATACAGCTTACTAAAAAAATTATGAAAATAGGGCTAAAAATAACAAAAATATAACACTTAAAATTTGACCAACCATTTTTTTTTGCATCTAAGTGTATATTTCCAATGGCGTTCTTAGAAAATAGAGGATTGTACTCACTTTTATCTTCTTTGCTTTGTGCTTCATCCACAGCAATCTTCAGTGCCCTTCCAAAACCCTCTCCTGGCAACAACTCCGGTAACTTTATCCGAACTTCATGGTTTTCAAGGTAGTTCTCCACAGTCCCAAGCAAAGTACCATCGTCCACATTGGCCCTAGCGTCGTTCTCACTTCTAGTACTGATTATATGAACTCCATCCCCCAATCTCACATCTTCAGGCTGCGAATTGATATACTGCCTGATAACTTTCGATATCACCGCTAAGCCACTGGGCCCTTCGGCCCTAGATGACGTCACCAGTACCAGCGCGCAAAACAACACCAAGACCTTCATGGTTTCGTTCGTCAGTGACACACCATATAAAATGCGGCAAGTGTAAATTGTTATCTGGTACTTATAAGGAGAGCGGCGTAAAAAAAGTCAAAAGAGACTCACTCACTATTCCACTGTGCGGCTTAATAGGAATTTAGTGGAGCAGAAAAATCTAAGGAAATAATAACAAATAAGAAATTAAATCAAGATTGTCTGCAGCATCGCGGCTGCGTTGGCCTCCTTTCGGAGAGTGATTAGAGAAAGAATAAGAGCAGAGTTACAGGATGGCTACGCCTAAAAATGCATTTCACTTATTTTAATCTGCATAGTTAATACGTTCGCTACCAAGAGTGTATTTGTGCAGAAACCTGATAGACCATGTTATAATTATTCAAAAAATGCTGCTCCTTTGATGTTTTGTTATCATTACTACATAAAAATTACTTATAGTCCATTTCTGTTAGGATATTTTTATTCGGCTTATATCAGACCCTTATCTATTCGCAAAACTGCCATAATAAGTCATAAAAAAATAATGTATAATAATTTTGTCCATTACTCCTACGTGGAGCATAGAGCCTCGATAAAGCTCTCCAGCGGGTTCGGTTGTTGGCAATTGATTTGACATCTTGCCATGATCGGTTTGCTATGTCGATCTCCTTTTTAATTATCCTTTGCCATGTTTTAGAGGACAAGTTATTGTTGTTATTTATTATTTCTGATAGTATTTGGCCAGAATATAATTACAGTTTTTCGCAGACAGCGGTTTATGAAAACTTGGAGTTTGTTAGTTAATGGCGATGAAATTTCCATGTCTTCACACCATACAGCAATACTGTCTTGACATTCGAATTGAAAATTTTAAGTTTAGTAAGTTGAGGTTAGAATTTTTTTAGAATTTAGAATGAGTGGGAGGGGGGTTAATCACTGCGACCTTACAGATCTATAGTGTCCCCCTTTCTTGAGTTATAACTCATCATAAAGTCCCAGGGCTTTGACAAAAACCAGTATCTGGGACGGTTTTATAGAGGGTAGTTCTCCATCTCCAATATCGGTCGTACCAAAGTTCATGGCACGAATGGTTGTCGTCTCGGTGCACTCAGTGATGAGGTGTACTCGTGTTTCCCCATTTTCCCCACAGAATCTGCATTGGCCGTTTCTTCTTAGTTTCAATCTACTGAGGTGTTCATTGAGGAGACAGTGTCCTGTTAAGAACCCCGTGACAATCCGAAGATTGTTCTTACTTAAATCTAGGAAGATCTGTGATTTTTCTTGATCGTAAGCCCTCAGAAACTTCTTGGAGTGTCTTAGACCGTTGCAAGATTCCCATTCCAGATTGCGGATGGAATCTTCCAAGTTCTTGAGTTCCGCCTTGAGTTGGTTACCACTTGGAAAGCAGAACGGTTCTGGTCCAGTTAGTGGAGTGTTCGCTCCTTTTCTAGCTAGATAATTTGCTTTTTCATTGCCTTCTATCCCTTGGTGAGCAGGCACCCACAGTAGGAGGACTTTGTTTTCTTTGCCTAATTTATTCAGCTTCTCTGTGCATTCTTTGACCAATTTCGAATTGATTGATACTGAGTTGATCGCCTTTAACGCTGCTTGACTATCAGATAAGATGGCTATTTCTTGTTTCCGATAGTTTTTATCTAAGATAAGTTGTACGCATCTTTCGATAGCGTAGATTTCTGCCTATAGGATGCTAGGGTAAGTGCCCATTGGTTCGGAGTATTTAGTTCTCGACCCAAATACTCCGATCCCTGTTCCCGTATTGGTTTTGGAAGCATCAGTATATGTACCAAGTTATGGTATGGTCTTTTAACTGCTGGGCAGACGTTTCTCTCTTCCAATCCTTTTTATTGCTCAATACTACATTGAGATATTTCTCAAAGTTGTACATTCCTGGCATATCGTCCACTGGGAGTTGCAGGAGTGGTATTTGCTTTTTGTGGGTGTTCCAAGCTCCTGATCTGACAATTCTCCCAGTACTGATTCCGTTAGTGACCATTCTAATCTATTCTAATCTAAGTTGAGGTTACTGACTAGATCTCCAAATGTAGTTGAACATTGCAAAAGTTACTCTGGTCTTGTTTATTCTATTTATGATATCTTGCTCTGTGCTTCAGTTTAATCATTTTACTTACTTAGGTAGTATAATCTCAACTATACTACCCAAGTAAAGTAAAATTATTACCTTCTCTATTTATAGGTGTTGTCCCAATGATAAAGAGAGCAACGTCGTTGGTATAAGATCTCATCATTTCACTAACCATCATTAGCAGATGAGTAAAACTGCAGTTGCTTCGTTGGAATAAATTTAACGTCCAAATGAGCTAGAAAGACAAAGAATTGGAGCTTACTGAACAATAAATAAATGAGGTTCTTTTACAACAGTTCTATGACTACATCTCGATCTGCAAACTAATAAATAGACAAAGTTGGCTATTTCTTGTTTCCGATAGTTCCTATCTAAGATAAGTTGTACGCATCTTTCGATAGCGTAGATTTCTGCCTATAGGATGCTAGGGTAAGTGCCCATTGGTTCGGGAGTATTTAGTTCTCGACCCAAATACTCCGATCCCTGTTCCCGTATTGGTTTTGGAAGCATCAGTATATGTACCAAGTTATGGTATGGTCTTTTAACTGCTGGGCAGACGTTTCTCTCTTCCAATCCTTTTTATTGCTCAATACTACATTGAGATATTTCTCAAAGTTGTACGTTCTTGGCATATCGTCCACTGGGAGTTGCAGGAGTGGTATTTGCTTTTTGTGGGTGTTCCAAGCTCCTGATCTGACAATTCTCCCAGTACTGATTCCGTTAGTGACCATTCTAATCTATTCTAATCTAAGTTGAGGTTACTGACTAGATCTCCAAATGTAGTTGAACATTGCAAAAGTTACTCTGGTCTTGTTTATTCTATTTATGATATCTTGCTCTGTGCTTCAGTTTAATCATTTTACTTACTTAGGTAGTATAATCTCAACTATACTACCCAAGTAAGTAAAATTATTTACCTTCTCTATTTATAGGTGTTGTCCCAATGATAAAGAGAGCAACGTCGTTGGTATAAGATCTCATCATTTCACTAACCATCATTAGCAGATGAGTAAAACTGCAGTTGCTTCGTTGGAATAAATTTAACGTCCAAATGAGCTAGAAAGACAAAGAATTGGAGCTTACTGAACAATAAATAAATGAGGTTCTTTTACAACAGTTCTATGACTACATCTCGATCTGCAAACTAATAAATAGACAAAGTTGGCTATTTCTTGTTTCCGATAGTTCCTATCTAAGATAAGTTGTACGCATCTTTCGATAGCGTAGATTTCTGCCTATAGGATGCTAGGGTAAGTGCCCATTGGTTCGGAGTATTTAGTTCTCGACCCAAATACTCCGATCCCTGTTCCCGTATTGGTTTTGGAAGCATCAGTATATGTACCAAGTTATGGTATGGTCTTTTAACTGCTGGGAGACGTTTCTCTCTTCCAATCCTTTTATTGCTCAATACTACATTGAGATATTTCTCAAAGTTGTACGTTCTTGGCATATCGTCCACTGGGAGTTGCAGGAGTGGTATTTGCTTTTTGTGGGTGTTCCAAGCTCCTGATCTGACAATTCTCCCAGTACTGATTCCGTTAGTGACCATTCTAATCTATTCTAATCTAAGTTGAGGTTACTGACTAGATCTCCAAATGTAGTTGAACATTGCAAAAGTTACTCTGGTCTTGTTTATTCTATTTATGATATCTTGCTCTGTGCTTCAGTTTAATCATTTTACTTACTTAGGTAGTATAATCTCAACTATACTACCCAAGTAAGTAAAATTATTTACCTTCTCTATTTATAGGTGTTGTCCCAATGATAAAGAGAGCAACGTCGTTGGTATAAGATCTCATCATTTCACTAACCATCATTAGCAGATGAGTAAAACTGCAGTTGCTTCGTTGGAATAAATTTAACGTCCAAATGAGCTAGAAAGACAAAGAATTGGAGCTTACTGAACAATAAATAAATGAGGGTTCTTTACAACAGTTCTATGACTACATCTCGATCTGCAAACTAATAAATAGACAAAGTTGGCTATTTCTTGTTTCCGATAGTTCCTATCTAAGATAAGTTGTACGCATCTTTTCGATAGCGTAGATTTCTGCCTATAGGATGCTAGGGTAAGTGCCCATTGGTTCGGAGTATTTAGTTCTCGACCCAAATACTCCGATCCCTGTTCCTGTATTGGTTTTGGAAGCATCAGTATATGTACCAAGTTATGGTATGGTCTTTTTAACTGCTGGGCAGACGTTTCTCTCTTCCAATCCTTTTTATTGCTCAATACTACATTGAGATATTTCAAAGTTGTACGTTCTTGGCATATCGTCCACTGGGAGTTGCAGGAGTGGTATTTGCTTTTGTGGGTGTTCCAAGCTCCTGATCTGACAATTCTCCCAGTACTGATTCCGTTAGTGACCATTCTAATCTATTCTAATCTAAGTTGAGGTTACTGACTAGATCTCCAAATGTAGTTGAACATTGCAAAAAGTTACTCTGGTCTTGTTTATTCTATTTATGATATCTTGCTCTGTGCTTCAGTTTAATCATTTTACTTACTTAGGTAGTATAATCTCAACTATACTACCCAAGTAAGTAAAATTATTTACCTTCTCTATTTATAGGTGTTGTCCCAATGATAAAGAGAGCAACGTCGTTGGTATAAGATCTCATCATTTCACTAACCATCATTAGCAGATGAGTAAAACTGCAGTTGCTTCGTTGGAATAAATTTAACGTCCAAATGAGCTAGAAAGACAAAGAATTGGAGCTTACTGAACAATAAATAAATGAGGTTCTTTTACAACAGTTCTATGACTACATCTCGATCTGCAAACTAATAAATAGACAAAGTTGGCTATTTCTTGTTTCCGATAGTTCCTATCTAAGATAAGTTGTACGCATCTTTCGATAGCGTAGATTTCTGCCTATAGGATGCTAGGGTAAGTGCCCATTGGTTCGGAGTATTTAGTTCTCGACCCAAATACTCCGATCCCTGTTCCTGTATTGG